TCATAGCCTAAACACCACATGGCAAGGGGGGAGGGTAAGTTTACGCTATCCTTCGTCGTTTTCGAAATTAAAACTGTTAAGTCTAAGACCTTGTGTAGATCTCGACTTCGCTTGTTTAGTAAGCGAGATATGCCATAGAACTATCAGACCTACATCTCTTTATCTTCAAAGGAAAAGATCATTTAGAGTACAGTTCAATATGATGTTTTATTGCATGAGTTCATAAGAGCAGCTTGAGGCATTACCTGAAATCATGCTCAGCTTTTTTAAAGCCATGTACATCAATTAGGGAGCCAGGAGAACGGGTGAATCAATGGACTTATTTCTTCCCAATAGACCGAGGATTCACAGAAGCGGGCGAAATATACACGCCAAAACAACAAATTCTGAGAAATATCCCTCCTTCCATCCCCCTTCGCCTCCCCCCACACTACGACCCTGAGTCTAAACTACATATGTATCTCATTATCTTTTGTTATTTCTCTCCAAAAACGATCAATGTATAGTTCTGAGCTATAAGATGAACTTATTCTGATTAATTGTAGGCTATTTCTCCAATTTTTAGCCATAATTGTCTTTTAAAAGGTCAACTACGCGTGGATACAAAAAGCCCCCACCCTCCCAGGGGATGGGTTGATTCCAGATGGTCGAATAGCCAAAGGGTCAACAGATGTTTTGACAGTGTTTATTTTCTCTTTCAGAGTAAAGCTGTTTGTAATTCACATCACGTACACGATGTTCTAGGAAAGGAAGTTGTTTCACCTTTATGAATATTTCAAGAAGTGATTTTCGGTTTCGAGTTTCCATGAAGTTAATACTATATTTGGTCGTTTGGCTTGAACAACACGTCTCGTAGATGAAAATTGTGCGCATAAAAATTAAAAAATTCTGGAAATCCTTTCGAGGGTAAAGCTTCTGTTTTATTATATTTTCGAGACCTGCGATTTCAAACTGTGTTCCGAAGCCAAATATTACAATTTGCAAAATAGATGAAAATGAGATGTATCTCCCACGTGTTAAGCGTGTGGTTTGCCTTAAATTTGTGTTTCATTTGCTGTGAGTCTCGTGAGTATAAATATCAAACGCAGGATCCTCGTCGTGTATTTTTTAAAATAAAAATTGAAAAGACAAAAATCTTGCTGAAATGCGGGTCTTGGCTTTTTTCCGAGAAATTGATCTCAAAGGGCATCATACCTCATGCACTGTCAATAAGGATCGAAAGCGAAAATATGGTTGGCTAGTCAAATTGCCAAAAATAAAGTGCTTGTACGTGCTCTCAGCCTAAGTAGCCGAAGTAAATACTATCTCTGATTGGTCAGTCTGACAGAGGTATTTCCTCCGCGCCCACTGGCACGTCAATAATATTGACCGATGAATTATCTGTATTACGTATTGCTTCAACCGACCAATCACAATTCGGTATTTTTGCTATTTTTGGCTGAGGGAAATTCCCTCGATGTAAGTGTCTCACGAAGCTGCATAAACACCCTCGCATTAGCATCAAACTCTCCAGTTTACCTTGTCACTTCGACGTGCGAAGAGAGTACCTGCTTTTGTGAGCTAGAGACGTATAAAAAAAACGTTTACAAGAAACGCTTTCTAACCCGATTTTTCACAGCCTAAACGTGCAAGGTATGTTAGCTTACTGATTAAGAAATCTTTTTTGAACATTGCAGCGATTTTTCGTTGTTTAGCGGCGCTTGCTCGGATTCAACCCTACGACTTCCTCTTTTGAAAGCGTGTCATCTCGGATACCACGCACCTTGCAGCTGAGTTGAGTTTTGATGTGTTTTGAATCTTATAAGATGTTTGATATTCTTTCTTTCCTTTCTAGAAGGATCGATCAAAAAAGATGGCAAACATTCTCACAAGTACGCCACTACTCGACCAGATCAAGGTAGGTTAGAATCAACGGTACAGATCTTCGATCGACACCAAATTAATTAGATTCACTTTTATTCATCGCCGATAAAATTGTCGATGAAGTTGTCTCCAAATTATCGTTTTCACACCTCGGAATATTTCCAAAAGTCGCCGTGCAGTTAAGTTTCTTTGTTAAAACCTGATGAAAGAGGCACTGACTAGGTTTGTCAATTTCAACTGTCAATGGGCATCTGCCCAAACAAACACCCACGTTCAGAGCAGAATATTCAGGTTTTGTTTGTTTCCTTTGTCCTTCTAGATGTTCGAATATCTGGGAACATTACAGATGAACCAGTTAAATCCAGAGATAAATCAGTGGAATCACCAGTACAGCTTGCTTCTCGCCAATCAGCCAGGCGTGCCTCAAGCGACTCCCGCTCCTGGCTTCGAACACCGTCTCCTAATGGCTGCGGCTCAGGGCCAATTGCTCGAACAGCAAATTTCCGCTTCGACCATGTCAGGTACTATAGAACGATTTGATAATGTTGGAAACGAATTTTTTTACTCCCGACACACCCGAAACATAACTCTGACGTCGAAGCAAAACTGAAAGTTATCATTTCATGCCCTTTCGTTAGCTTCCACTGCATGTTGTTTTTAAAAAGTGTCCTCCTTGCTTATTTCAGGAAATGGATACGAAGAAGACGAACTTGATATTTTCAATGGCGAACCAAATGAAGCCTCGTTCAATCTCGAATTGGCTAAAGCCGCCCTGAGAGGTATGTGAAGAACAAACGTAATTTCTTTCGGTATTTTCCTGTTGGATGAAAGCATTGTTTAGGAGTTTTGCATATTTTGGTTGCGAAACTGATCTCGTGACACAAGCTGATTGGGTCTATAGTTCGGCGTGGGTCCAATGCCCTCGAGGCTTATGAAACTATTACACAATAAGGAAGTTTTGCATATCAATTACACGGACTGGCGATGATGATAATTCATGACTGACACTTGTCAATCAATTTATAAGCAACACTCACCAAGTGTCATCTCAAAGGCTTTTGTTAGTTTCCCTTTAAGATTTTGAATAATCTGCGAACCCTCCAAGCTTGCCAGGAGTTTCATTCTTTCTCAATCTCTTTGTAAGGTGGTAGGCCCATCAAAGCTGATTATTTGTTTCTTTTATTCAGATATTGATCCCAACCAAATGCCAGACCTGTCAGTCTTTGAAGAAGATTTTCAAGACGAAGGATATAACCCCTCCCTTGAAGAAACATACCAGCCACCTTCACCTCCAGTGCTCTTTAAGATGGAGGCAAAATCTCCTAGTCCCTGTGGATCAGAGAGCAGTTACCCATCAGCCAGTCCACCCCACAGCCCTAGCATCAGTGAAGCTAGTTATAACACTTACAGCACGGATGAGGGATTTGGGTCTGACGACCTGAGCGACCTTGATGGTGAGTAACAGTACGTGCAGCTGTGTTTTATAATAAATGTTGAATCAAAAATAACACTTTGGATATTGGTTGGAAATTTAGTTCAAGCACTGACAGTTTACTCAAGCTCATTACTTGTGTTTTGTTTATTTTTCTTCAAGAGAAAACCAACTTTTAGAGAAGTACTTTCTTCATGAAATTTTTTAAAGCATGCTCAGTCTATTTTATTTTTCCCATAGAAATTCTGGATAGAATGAGCTCTTCAGGTTCCCCTGCATCAACACACAGTGAACCGGAGAAACTTCCACCCGTTGGAATCAAAGAAGGTAAATATTTCCTGCTTTAGTGCATCGTTTTCATTCCTTTGTTAAATGTTTGATGATAGACTTCCATATCATTGTGTTTTATACACAAAAATGCTAATTCATATATCATTCTTATAGAAGTACCTGAGAAGAAAAAGAGAAGTAAGCGGGGACCCAAGCCACCAGTCAAATATCGAGGTGGGTGTGAACAAAGTGTTTCTTGTTATATATTTTTTTCTAGATATGCTATTCATCAGGCAAATAAATGACTTATGTTACTTTGGTAGTGCTCTGTGATAAGTACATATCAAATTAAAGAGTTTGTTCTCCTATGTTGTATCAGGTGATGGCCCAATTCAGCTGTGGCAGTTTCTTCTGGAGCTTATCATTGCAACAGAAACCTCACACCTGGTGAAGTGGACCCAAGAAGAGGACTACGAATTTAAGATCCTACAGCCTGCCATTGTGGCTAAGATGTGGGGGAAGAAAAAGAACAAGCCAACCATGAACTATGAGAAGCTGAGCCGTGGTCTCCGCTACTACTATGGCAAGAACATTATCGAGAAGGTCCATGGCAAGCGATATGTCTACCAGTTCATGTGTGACATCCCCAAGATCCTTGGCTATGACCCAATGGTGAACAAATGTGAGGACTTTCCAGAAGATTCTGTCTGTGGAGAACCTGTGATGTCTCCTGAAGTTGAAGATCTGCTTCTGACCACCTCAGTCGAGGAAGGAAAGATTGCTGGATCTCTCGACTTCAGCCTGCTCATCCAATAGTTTTCCCTTTGTTTTTGTTGATAACCCCAACGTGTATTACTCCGGTAATGTTTTTAGTAGCTTGTATCAAGCGCACAAAGTGGTAGTATAAGCCTCTTTTTTATGAATCGTATCGATTCACCCCCCCAACTACAATTTTAGTGGCAAGTTATACAATTTTCTATGAAGGTTTTCCTAAGTGAGGTTGTCTTTGTAGAGTTGTTTAATGAACTAATTAAGATTTCAACACTTATGCATACTGTGTATGTGGAGAAGAATCCCAGTAAATACGACAAGCAAGTTAATAGAGGTTTTTTCAAGTTTTTCCGTACTTTGTTGTTAGAAACAGTCAAAGACAAAAATAGTAGGATATCAAAAATTAAAAAGAGTTAAAAAGCAGATTGCCAAGTAAGAATGAAGCCATATGTGTGGCTTCTGTTTATAGCAAACTTTGGTAATTAATTGAATGTACAGAAAAAGTAATATGACGTTTCATTTTATCAAAAATTACTTAAGTTTTACCTGGTACAAATGAGCCAATATGGCATAAGACTTTACCACAATAAGAAGTAGTTAATTTGTAGGAGTTAAAAAGTGACGTTCAGCTTTTCTCGGATAGAATATAAGTGTGCGTATAGTTGCATTTTGGTTTCAGGTTAATCATATTGATTAACTCCCCAATTGTATAATCAGTATCCCCTCAGCTACTGAGTAGCTTTCATTTGTCTGTAAACCAAATACAGTTGTAAGCATTAAAGCTAATACAAGGCCCAAATAAAGTAATAAGTTAATGCAAAAGTCAATGTCATTTTGATTTGTGATGAACTTGTTCAGCAAACTGGGTTGGATAGATTTTGGGGTATTATTTTGTAGGGAACTGAATTCGAACTGCCTTAGCATCTAGATATATTTAGGGACCTAGCTTTGTGGTCTGTTGCCCCCATGATTGTAGAAGCGAAAAATGAATAGGAAACAAAAGCAAGCCATAAGAGACAGGTGAAAACCTCCTATTTAATGATTAGAACAGAACTGGACAGGAACGAGCACTCGCTGAAAATTTGCACGAAGCGGAGAGAGAAATAAGATGGCAAGATGGTGCTTTTGAAGTGAGTTATCTGTAATTGACATGCGGCTAAGGAATTTTTGAAATGAGCTAGCTCGACACCGCGGAAAAACGTCTTTTAGGGCAGGATACAGTATTTTACTGGTCAGCGGACACCTCAGCGAAACCATGAAATGCCGATAACTTTTACAATGTTTTTCGCCGTGAGTCAATTCGACAGCGTAAAAAGTCAAAACTGAGAAAGAATACGGTAAACTTAGCTCTGAAACTCGGCTCACCTTTTGGATAGTTCTTAAGCTCAATTATATAATTTGCCAAAGCCGAACTGAAGTTGCACACGATATGAAATTGTTGTTTTTCGCTGGCGGCTCCGTGGCAACTAAGTTTTGTTTATAAAAGAGCTTATGCACCAAGGCTAAAAATGAGACGATTTTTGAATGGTTGAAGCGGTGATCCGAGGACGCTGCACTATCAGGTTTGTAAAGCAGTGGCTTGAACCGTATAAATGGGCATGTCAACGGCATTTCGGTCAGATTCGCCGAAAAGAAGACAAAACATGCCCGTGTAGCACGGCCACCCTATCCCCACTAGTTACTGTATGTATCATAGTTGGCCAAAAAACCTACGACTGTAACATGCATAGGACTGAAGCCCCCAAAAGTACAAAGACTGGCTCAACTAGAGGAAGAATAAACCGAGGTATGCTTTAAGTACAAAATGTCCATTATAATGATAATAAAGAAGTTTTCACTTTCCATCTTAGTTTGTAATTTTTTTTCTGAG